TACGTCCGTGTGTACCGGCTTGTGCTAGAAGTTCTTACACGAGTGGTCTATAGTGGTCTATAAAATTCAGATGCAGTCCTCTAAACAAATTAATGACACGATGTTGTTTAGTTACGATATCCATGGTTTGTACTGATTGCCCTGATTCTAGCCGCTGAAACTAATGTCGATGTCGCCTTATGGTTATACATAATATGGCCCCTATGATAATTCTGTTACCAGATTCTAGCGGCTTTCTAAATTGAAATTATAACTACATTGTCAATATTTATGTATAATGACAAAGTCGCATCGAAATTTCAACGGTCGAAGTTTAGTTTGAATGAGTTCCCAGATCCACTGTTACAGTTTATTCTTATAGTCGACTAAATATTAACTATATCTTACTAAAGTAAATTATTACAACGTTTTTCTTATTTAGAATAATAATTATATAACAGCTCTTAAAAATATTATTTCTATTGCAAAACACTTCTCTTATTCGAAAGGTTCTGTGGTGGAGGATCGTACTCTGCTCTCTATCTATTTAAAGGTCAATGCCGGGATGTGTTTAATGTTTCTGTTCGACAATAGAGGGCGTGCGGTATGGTCAACACACGGATGGTCACGGAACGTAAATTGTCGTTGTGAGGTTAGAACTCAAAACCTTTTTATAATTTACATCGACCGTACAGTATATTCAGATAAGAGATAGAGCGGACATAAACAAGACCACGTGATCATCGAACGCTGTAACATTCGGCAGGGACGTATTAAGAGTCACGCAGTACATATTTTAGATAGTAGATGCTGCTTTGCGTAACTTTGTAGTAAATTAGCACAATTCGATGTGTATACGATTGGTGATGGATATAGGATCATGTGGGGGTGGGGTAAGAAATATATAATGATGTAATTATACATAAGGGTTTCAAAATTTTCGCTTCGATTTCCAGCTTCGGATGCCGCCTGATGTTTGGTGAAATACAGTCGAATATAATCTCAAAATGGCGTTTAAATTAGCCTAAATTAAAAATAATCGTATATCTCTTAAAATTGCTTTTAGAATATTGATTAGTATATTTTTTGATTTCTAGGTAAATATGTAACCAAATTAAAACGTTCAAAACGTAAAAAAATGTGCATGGTTGAACATTGTCAGAAAGTAGATTCTTGAATAGGTTTTGCCAAAACGGGTTCAAAAATGTCAATAATTAATTAAAAAATACAGTAGCTTTATAATTACTTATAACTTACCGAATTTGATGAACGACATCTTTTATTGGAAAGATGAGCTTGATGAGCTTTCATCATCGCTACTGCCTGAAGCACCAACGTCAATAATGAATGGCTCGACTTGTTCCTCTAAAATATTGTCCAGTTCCCACATTCTCTTTTCAACTTTGTCTTTCACGTGCTTAATACAGTTTTCCCATTTTTGCGCTGTTATTAATTCTAGTGCTTCTTTGAAAAGTCCTTTGAGGTCACAAAATTTAAAAGTTGTATTGTGCTTAGCTATATAATTTTTAACCTCTGCCCATATGAGCTCAATGGGATTGAGCTCGCAATGGTATGGAGGTAAACGGAGCACAGTTTTATTTTGACTTGCTGCCATTTCGTCAATGGCGTATTTTTGATATTCCGCCTTGTGATCCTTGACAATTCTTAATAATTGTACTTTCAGCATTGCTTCTTCAAAGTTGATATTTTTCGAGCGGAGCCAATTTTGAACATCAACTTTCCTTGAAGCCGTTGTTGGGACCTTCTCCATTCTTCGAGAATGATAAGGCGCATTATCCAACACAATTACTGCGTTTTCCTCTAAGTTCGGTAAAATTTTTGAAAACCACTGTTCAAACGATTCGCCATTCATTTCCTCGTGGTAATCTCCAGTTTTCTTATACTCAAAGCACCACAGACCGTCAACAACAAATCCATCCTCACTGCCAATATGGCAGATAATGAGCCTTTTCCCTTTACCTGGAAATCGAAGTACTAACTGGTGTAGATTTATTTCAATAAGCGAACCTTTTTCAAATGTTTTCATCACATTCAGCGAAAAAACATTGAGACATGAGTATCAGATTGCTGCAATTGGGATTAATTAGTCATATTGAAAGAAAGAATATTGAACGCTTCACAATTTAATTTAAAGTTATAAACCTTTAAAAAATGAATGATCAGGAACCTGAAATACGCGCAAATATTAATATTAACAAATTATAACTTTATAAAGCTTAAAGTATGAATTAAAATGATTAGAAATATTAGGAACGGTACACAATATAAAACTTAGTAACTTTTTTTAAGTTTATAATATTCGACATATTTTAAGATTATATTAAAAAATTATTGAAATATCGAAAACACATAAAAACATGGCTTAAAAAAGTTCTAACAAACGAAAATGACAATAAAACATCCACGCATTTTATCGAAAGTTATAAAAGTTTTGTTACTTGTAATATGTTTTATCTGCCCCCTGGAATTAATGTTTAGAACCTTGTTCCCAAGGTTTGAAAAACATCCGATTGTTGTCTATTACTCGTATTTACCTGCTGGATTTTTTAATCCGGTGGACAGTCCATCTAGAAAGGCCCTCCTGGATGAAGTTACAGAATCATCAACCCATACTTTACTTGTAGTGTGTCCTGCGTTTACCCACGTTTCATCAAGGTAATAAATCTTCCTGTTTTGATTTCTATATTTCCCAATTTTTGTTAAATAAGGAATAGCACAATTTCTTCTCTATCCAGTAGTAAGCTATTACGACCCCGTTTTTTCCATTTGAAATTTAAATGCTTCAGTAACGCATGGAAAGTTGATCGTTTGAAATTTGGCAACGTTGTATCTCCATTTACCTCCTGCAGTACTTTATCTATAGTAGGTATTTCATTCCTAAAGAAGAATTCATGCACTTTCCTCCTAATCGCATGCTTATCAGCTTCATCCAATGATTTAACAATACTTTTGCGATGTTTACTGGTCATTGGCTCAGAAAAGGTATCATTTTTTTGTATTGTCTTAACACATTAAACACTGATGCGCGACACACCCCAACTTTGTGAGAAACCTTCACAACAATTTCTTTGATGGTTGATGCCTCGTTCTCCTCGCGCTCGATCTTATATATATTCAAAATGACCTCTTTCATTTCTGCACTCAGGTGTCTTTTTTTAGAGCGTTTCCTAGGTGGACTACAGGAGTTTACAACTTCATCGCCAGTATCTGTACTACTGGGCATTTTGCGCAAGCAGTTGATAACAATAACAATCAATAACAAGGTATAACAATAACAACGACAAACTCAACAACTTAATAAGATAACAAACGAAAACGTCCAAAGAAATATCAAATTGCAATGATGCACACGACATACGTAACACGTCTGAACCTGAATGTGACTCTGCCTTGATACGACTGCTCAGCCGCTCGGCATAGGCATTTAATTGCGAATTGACCAATGAGGGCTCCTGTTTTACGTCGAAACGGCGGCGTTAGCGTGAAAGTCACCCGAACCTTTTGTTTACATCCGGTCTATCCCTTATCTGAATATACTGTAGATACGAGAGCTGAACGTGACTTGGTGCTATTTCCGGTGCTCTTGTGTAGCAGTTCAGCGGCCACAACCTACGTAGTGACACACTTTCACACCCTGTGCTGGGGATTTACCGGGTTGTGGAAATTTTGATAGAAATCGGCCTCCATTGGTGAATTTTGTTGTCGCCGTCCTCTACCCTCTTGGGTACATAGTCGTTGTTGCAGCTACACTTGAACAATCGAGCTGGTAAGTGACCATTTTTTCCAAGCCACGTGCTCATTTTCTCAACATGATGTCTGATTCTAGAGAGGGGAACCGTCTGCATTAACACTCAGGAACGATCTATAAGTAGGACTCACGTCTATGAGGAACCCTCATCGTTCGAGGTAATTCTGATTTTTTTTACTTCGCTAGGTCTGTTTTAATCTCGTAGAAATTGAAAACCCAACCGCTCCGTTCAAATATTTCACCATAGCGGACTAATTTCTACCAAAGTTTCCACAACCCGACAAATCCCACTCTGGGTGTGAAATTGCTTCACTACGCAGGCTGTGACTGCTGAGAGAGCACGAGAGCACCTGTTGGAAAATACATCATTTTCTCATCACATTATATGTAGATATGTTGCCGAAATGGCCGATCGGGTTTTTAAAAATTTTCTTTACTTTACAAAACTAATTTGAAATATTTTACAATACATAAAATGTACAATATGACGAACAAACGAGGAATCTCTGGAAAAGCATGAAGAACCTCTATTTATCATCTCGGGCTCGGATGCTTTCCTCAGCATTTTCTTCTTCCACGTGCATCCTTGTCTGCATCATAACTCCTCCCCACCTAGTCTGAAAACTTCTGTGGCAAATAGTTAAAAGGGCATAAGTCATTTTTTTCGACTTACGACATTTTGACGTATTCGTTGAGAGGACGGCTATAAGGACACTTCAGTAAAATTGTATAAGTAGATATATGAAAGAATCGCCATAAAAATCAAAATAAAAATTGAAGCTAGCACCAGATTCGTCTAGTCTGGTTGGTAACAAGGGCTCAAGTTGATTTATGTATATATGAAGTTATTTATACATTTACTAACAAAGGAGTAAGTATACATACTATGTGGAGAAGATCCATACTACGGGCATAAGTCAACGTCACCCGTTTCAATTAAATATCGAATGAAGAAATTTTCAAACTAAAAGGGCATATGTCTACCTAGGCCATCTAGGTATTAGGCACAATAATACTTATGCCTTTCTTATTATAAGGAATACAGTTATAAGTTTACTTATGCCCTTCTAACTGACTAAATGGATAGTTCCCGCGCTTTTCAGTTAGACGTAACCTTAAAACAAAGTGTAGGATGTTTACATTTTTCACAAGTAATTATTCAGTTATTACGTTTTATAACATTATAATATAAGCTAAAATTGATTAAGGGCTGTTAAAAATGGTTAAATGTCGTGGTGGGCGAACTCAAAGAATGCTAGATGTGTGTAGACGGCAGATTGAGTCAAGTAAGTGTACAGGTTACGGCGGCGCAGATCTAGTGAGACAAAATACCTATTTGATTTCAGGCAATAACAGTTACGATCCTCACAATTCTCAAAACGAAGAATCGCAATTTGAAAATGACCGAAAAAACTTATCAGAATCGTTAATGGGACAATCAGGTAAGTCACATTTGTTGACAGAGATATTCGATTGTATACTTCATAGCTTCAATTGGAATCGTGCTAATCGTTCCAAGTTTAAGTTATTGATGAAAATGAAATATATAGAATGTTTTATTATTTTTCCAGAAAAAAGAGTCAAGTTGAGTGTTGATGAGATGTTGAGCAATCCACCTGTATCTAATGAGCATGAAACATATTTCGACTCGCTGGATTTCCAAGGCCTCAATTTTCCTTGTGTTGATGAATCTCTGGTAGTATCCGTAGCAATTGATGATCTGGTTACGGAGGGTAGGTTTTTTTGATTCTGTTCGTATAAATTCGTTACTTGAAATATTGTATTTGAAGGAATATATCTACAAGATCAAGAACTGCCATTGATTACAAACAATTGCATCAAGGATGCAGAAACTAATCAACAGGATAACGAAATTCTTCAAGCTGGAAACGAAAATATAGAAAGTGCAAATGAGAGTGGAGATAGTAGCCAAATGGTTGATAATATAGATGATGATGTACAGGTAACTCAAAACGGAAGTAACGTCAAACCATTTGCAGTTAAGAAAGTTAAAGAGCGCAAAAGTAAACGTAATTTAGGAATAAGTTATTGTACTATAAAGGGCAAAATTATTGAATCCAGGAGACTTAAGCCCTTGAGGGACAACTGTAGAAATAGATGTAAAGATATTTTAACGGAAGATATGAGGACACAAATTTTTGACGAGTATTGGTCGTTGGGAAGTCATGACCGTAGGGTGGCTTTTATTGCAGGATTGATAAAAGTCCAAGAAAAAAATGTGACAAGACGAAAAATTGAAGGCAGAGCAACAAAAAATAGGAATAACACATACAAGTATAAATTACTTGTAAGAGGTGACGAAAAAAATGTCTGTAAAGTGTGCTTTTGTAATACCCTAGGCGAGACCGAAAAATTCGTAAGGTGTGCGGTGGAAAACAAGCTGTCTTCAACTAGCGGAATCACCCACGAGGACCTGAGAGGGAAAAACTCACCTCCCCATAAGACGCCAATATCGAAAATCAATGAAGTTAAGAAACATATAAATTCCTTCCCAGCCTACAAAAGTCACTATTCCAGGCGACATTCAGATAAGAAATATTTACCATCTGATCTAAATATCAGTATCATGTACAAGTTGTATTGTGAACAGCACCCTGGAAAATCTGTATCTTTTACTATCTATAGAAATCTGTTCCATACCATGAATTTAAGGTTTAAGAGACCCAAGATTGATACATGCACAAAATGTGATACACTTAACGCTAAACTTAAGTATACGATTTCTAACAAGGAAAATGAAAAGAAGCAAATAGAAGAATTACTAGAAAAACATCAAAACGAGGCAGAAAATGCGTATAAATCTAAATTATTGGACAAAGAAAAATACAAACTCAATGAAAAATGTGTGACCTACGCTTTTGATCTTCAGCAAGTCTTACCTACACCTTATTTAACATCGAATAAGATGTTCTATCTAAGACAGCTATCAACTTATAATTTAACCATACATAATTGTTCAGATGGAAAATCGAGTCACTTTATGTGGCCCGAGAGCACGGGTGCTAGAGGAGCAAATGAAATTTCATCTTGCATTTATAGATTCATCAAGTCAATCCCGGAGAGAACAGATCACTTAATTTTCTATTCCGATACATGCGGTGGACAAAATAAAAATTTTATTGTTATGAACATGTTTCAGTACGTTGTTCATACTCATGCAACCGTTAATATGATTGACCATAAGTTTTTGGTTCCTGGGCATACGCATTTAGAGTGTGATATCGATCACTCGGTGATTGAGCGAGCCAAAAAAAAGACTTCAATTAGTATTCACGTTCCAAGAGATTGGTACCAATTAGTGAGAACTGCGAGCAAAAAAGATAAATTTTCTGTTTTTCCTATGGAAATTGACCATTTTTTGGCTTTTTCGGAATTATCCACAAAAGGACCTCTCCAGAAAAAAAAATTCAAAATAAGAGATATTCGTTGGTTAAGGTACACTAAGAATGCCACACACAAGAATTGTTTGAACGAAGAGGAACCATTCATAGAGGTTAATTTATTCAGAAAGGGGCATAACCCTTCAAGTCTAAAGGATACTCAATTAAAAAAAGTTTATAATGGCCCACGGCCTATCAGCAGCTTGAAGAAACAAAATCTGGTAGAAATTGTTTCTGCTTTAGACAAAGAGGTTCAATCATACTACAATGAGTTGAAAACTGATAAAAAAATCGAGGAAGATACAGATCCAGATGTAGATAGGTATCTAACTGATGATGAAGAATGCTAGCATTCATATATATTTTATTCTTATTTGCTTAGTTCTATCTCGTACCTGATACTGAGAAAGCATTGTCTCTTAATTTCAATTTATTTCATTATTATATGTTTAGTTTTTTCTTGTACTTGATAAAATTACTATTACTAAGAAAGACTGGTTGTTGATTTTATTATAAAGTTTACCTATTTTGAGTTATGTTCATAAAAACGGATGTCTATGCTAATAAAACTTATTATATCCATATCAAAACATGTTTACTTATACCCAAAATGCCCAATTACTGCAAAAAAGCTGAGTAGCATGTTCACTTGAGCTACTTTAACTGAAACAAATAGCAGAAATTGAATGAAAATATATAGACTTATGCCCTTCTCACCATAATAGATATTGTGGCATGTCTTGTACTAGGTCGACGTATATCCCTTGGATCATTTTTTTCTATGAATATGTTGTTTCATGCCGTTTTAACCATAACAAATTCAATTACCCTATTTGACAAAAAAGGCATATCTAATAATTTTATCATTCATCTTTCATATCTGGATATTTTCTTATACTATATGGTTCAGGATTTAATGACAGAGAATTAATAAAACAGGTTTTGTACCATTTTTCCTAGCCACGCCAAAACTAAATCAATATAAAACCTGTCAAAACTTTGCCGCCATTTTACCGAAAACAACAAACATATACATAAGCCCTTTCAACTATTTACCACAGACTTAATAGGAACGTTTTCTGTTTTCAGGGGGTTTTCTTCTTTTTGCGTCTTTCTTGGGCCTTTCTTCACTGGACTCGGGATTTTCTTCATCTTTCGTGTCTTGGGATAGATCGTTTTTCTTCTGGATTTGTTTTCTCCAAATATACCAAAAGGTTACTGCTACTGTAACAAGCAGAAAAATAGTAAAAACTGAGCTGCTAGAAAACCAAATTAGGGGATCAATAGCGGCTTCTTCTTGCATTTGAAGAAAATTTGCTTTTTCTAGCATCTCCTTGATCTTGCTGAGGTCAATAGTCTTGAGGATCAAAGTTTTCTTGGACACAAAGTTCGATGGTGCATTGAAAATTTTTATTTCTGGAAGGACCAAAGGGTTTCCTTTGACTTGATCTTCCTTGTTCCAAAACTTGGATGAGTTGATTTGTATTCCACAATATGGTGCTTCTAAAATAAGTGGTTGCTGAGTACCACACAACTTGACTGCTGTGATTGGTTGTTCAGCGGGAATGACCAAAATGTGTTTTGCTGATATCGCTCAACAAACGGACTGGATACTTGTAACTCTGTGAATTGGCATTTTGAAAATTCTGCTTCCTTCAGTAACTCGTTTAGACAACCTTGGATGGGTTATTGTGGATTCTTGCAGAAGTAGACGTTTTCAATTTCTGGACATTCTTCTTCTTCAAATTGCCGATGACTTGTTCCAAGAGCCAAAAAGGGATGGTTTGGAATAATGGTTGAATTTCTAATAGGAGCTGGGTATAGACGGAAAAATTGGAATTTTCCATCAGAAAATATAGGAAATATATAAAACAAGATTTTATTATCAGTAAATGTAATTTGTGGACCAGCTACTAAATAGTATGATTGTAAATTTTGAAAGTTTGTTACTTTCTTTTACTAAATACTTTATGTTTTTCTCTAAGTCTGTAGCTGATATGATAGAACTATGTAAAGTGTTCAATTTTGAAAACATTATAGCGTCCTCCAAATTATCTAAAAATGTAATCAAATTTTGACAATTTAGATTAAGTTGCTGCAAAATATTTTCAGCGTGAAGATAAGCTGTCAAGCTTCCTACAGTTGCATTCATCGCATTTTGCAGATGATACAATTTCGCTTTGATCTGTACCTGATTAGAACTTAATAATGAAATTGTAGAATTGTAATTATCTATCAATTCTTTAGTGAGTGAGGTCTGAAGTTTCAGTTGATTATGCACAGAATTTGCGTTCTTTTGTAATTCATGAAGTGCATTATTAATTTTGATTTCATCATCTGAGTCCATTGTACCAAAAAGAAACTTTGAAGTTTTTCCTACGAGATTAATCAATCCTCGTTTCTGACGTGGAACAATGTTATCTAATTTTTTCGTAGCTTCTTGTATTAGAAATTCACTATGCTTAAGGAGATTTGATAATCCAAAGTGCAAGTCTGAATGATCAGCATTTAAAGGCTTGAGAGTATTTTGGAGTATTTCGTAGTAATTTTGGATATTCGTAATCTGTCTTGTTAATGAAGTAGTTTCTACAAAGTGAATAAAGGTATGATACGATTCTAGAATACTAGCGCTACCTAGCGAATAAGGGAAAAGCGGGGCTTTTAAAGGTGTGACAATTGCGTCATTGTTGGCTTTGATTGTCGTGACTAGTATGTAGAAGGGATAGAATGACTATCGGAATCTCCTTGATTTCCAGATTCATGATCCTGCGGAAAAGAAGAATAAGCTTTAGGTTTTTGAATTTGAGATTTGTGTACTAAACCTTTGCGTTTATTTGTAGTCCGTACTTTGGTACCTAGATCTTTCTTAACTTCAGTTTTTGTGAATCGTGGTTTTAATTTACTCCAAGAAGCGGTTTTATCTTTGACATATGCTTTTGACCCTTGGGGTAATTTGGATGGATCCTCTCTAGTTTCATTACGCTTTTCTATAATATTCTTTTCATGAGCGTCTGCTACTTGTTGTATATTATTGTAAATAAATGTTAGTCTTTCACGTCTATCATCAATAAATTGGCTGACAATGATCTCATCTGATAGGTCAAATGGATCCAGGACATCTAAGCGGCCATTTATAAGGTCGAATGGTCGTTGTTTTGTAACACTGTGAATTGACGTGTTATATGCCAGAATCGCATTTTGCATTCGTTCTTTTGGACATAATTTTGGAAATATGATTTTTAGAATTCTTAGGAGTTCTAGGAGAGTTGAATGTAATCGTTCTATGGGACTGTTGCTGTTCGAATTACATGGTGTAGTAAAGTAAAGCTGGATTTTGTGTGATTTACAAAATTCTTTCAATAAGGAATTATTGAATTCTCTTCCATTATGAGTAGTAATTGACTGAGGAATGCCGTGATGGTACACAAATATCAAAATATTTACATACACTGTTGTGGCTGTACAAACTGGATCTAAATGATACGCTTGTGCATATTTTGAAAATGAATCAATAACAGTAAGAAATTTTGTGTTAGAAAATTGAAAAGTGTCCATATGTAAGACTTCTAGGGGTTGCTTTGGCGTTGGGGTGAGTGAAAATGTTATTTTTGGTGGATGTCTACTTTGCTACTTGGCATAACTCACAATTATTTATGTATTCTGTTACCATTTTTTGCATAGTCTTCCAGTAGTATAGTTTTCTAAGGGAAAGTAACGTTTCGTTAATTCCTCTGTGACAAGTCTTTGTTTCATGATGATGAGTAATTAATTCTTTTTGTCTCTCTTTGTCTGAAACATCTCTAACAAGCTGATTGGAAAAATAAAGTTTATATGCGTGGTTTTTGAAATACAAAGGTAGTATTTAGCTAATCTGGATATCTAAATCTTTAATTTCTGAACCTTTGATAAAAGTGCAATATACTTTGTTTGGATCAACATAGTCTTTGAAAAACTTTATGAATTCTTCCTCTATGTTATCGCTAAGCTGTAACTGTATTTTATTGACATTTCCGAAGGGCTTAGTCCTTACAAGGTGATATCGATAAGATGATTTCTGTTCAATAATTATCTGATTAGAAAATTTATTAGTAACATATTCAGTGAAAGGTATCTCTAATATGGGGTTTTCTACTGCTGTATGGACTGTAATACTGTCATCACTTGGCTGAGGGGGTACAATTTGGATGAGGCGAAAAGGAATTTTGGCTCTTACCTTCTACTCCTATCTTCTTGGAAGGCGGCAGGCAGATGCATGTGGCCAACTTCTCGCTCTTGGACTGTGGATTCTTTGTTCGTTGCTGTAGGTCGAACGCCGAAGGGACGATACCCACGTTTTCACGAAACCGGTCACGATACCGCGAATTTTCGGAAAACTGCGTTAAATCCTACTGGATGACTGTGCCAGATATGTTGCCGAAATGGCCGTTCGGGTTTTTAAAAATCTTATTTTACGTTACAAAACTAATTTGAAATATTTTACAATACATAAAATGTACAATATGACGAACAAACGAGGAATCTCTGGAAAAGCATGAAGAACCTCTATTTATCATCTCGGGCTCAGTATTTTCTTCTTCCACGTGCATCCTTGTCTGCATCATAACTTGTATACACGGCGAACCCGGAACTGTAAGAATATACAAGGTGTTCTGAGAAAATATATGACGGATTAAATAGTTATCCTCGTTCGTCAAGAATACATGTACCAAAATCAGTAATGACAGTAAATGTTAGCATGTTATCGTTGGATCGTGTTAAAACAGTTTAAGAGGTTAACTCAGTTCATAGTAGTTGGGCAAAGTGTGTTAAGTGCAGGTGGAAAGAGTTAATGGAATCTTAAGCTTTAGGGCTCCATATGTGGAACTAAAATCGGTTTAAACGCTTAAGCCCCTATTCGCTTTAAAATTTTTCGACTAAACGTTAAAAATACGTTACGCGTCGGGACACAATATAACCTCAAGCTAAAATATAGTATTTTTCCCCGAGTATAATACACAACTTCTCTCTGTGACGGGAAAAAAGACGATTTAATATTGAAAAATTATATTATTACAATATCTAAGTCCGAATATTATCGATGTGAAATTTGAATTTTGAAATTAGTAGGCTGTGTATAGCGACAATTACACCCGCGTTGCTAAGGAAACTTTTAAAGTAATCATATAGCAGCAAAGCAGTCAATTTAATTTTGTGGTGTGATTTAAATCCAGTTAGTGGTTCATTAGAAGTTATTTTCAATACTATAAAGTAAAAAATGTCTGATTCCGAGTTTTCTTCGACTCCACCGGAATTAGTAGAAGTAGCCAAAGTAGCGTCACACAAATTATTGCCAGCTAAATCGCGGAAAACT